TTAGCGTCCAACCTTCGGAAAATTAAATTACTTATTGCCCGATATTGTTTACCGATACTTAAAATCGACCGACACGACGAGTACCGACAGTTTAATCTCTCCGCGCCACACTCCGCCCCCTTCCGGCCGGCGCGAAAGAAAGGTCAGAAGAACGGGAGCGAGCGACCCTTATCGATTTCAGCGTTTCCCGCGGGAAATCGCGTTCGTTCGGCAAGGAAGAACCAGGGCGGACACCGTGGAGGGAAGGATATTCATGACGAGCGACGGTGCAGAATTTTCCATTATACCGAGTGCGGTACCTACCCTTATCATAGCGGTGCATATTCCTACGACGGCGACGACAACGGCTACCTTTCGCGAAGGTAATGGAAAACAAACAGGGAAAATATCGTCCGTTTACAATGCGGCAATATTCCGTGCCTGGCACGCTCCTTAAAGCCGGATTTGCGGATATCCGCGGGGCGTGGCAATGAGCGCAACAAAGAGTGTACTTTTTCAACTCACTCCTGTGCAGCGGTGCCGCACAAATTATGACATAGCCCATATTAAAATAGAACTTTTATCTATTATTATTCGCTATTATGTAAATTATGTGAGCTTTCTACTTTCTGCATTAATTCCGTTATTTGATTTTCGAGGGGAAGTATACGCGAGACATGTTTTCACGAAGTGAATATAAAGTTTTTCCATTTTGGGTGAACGTTATTGTAAGTCGTTTAGTCATATTACGCATAATATTATTATAATAAATGGAATCGGTTGCAAATAAGCTATTTCAAAAAGCAGTGGTCGCGTTTATTTGCTTGATTTTGAACTCTCGTAAAACCCGCGGCAAGTGAGAGCGCAACCGGTCAGCAATATCAAAGTTTTGACAGCTAGCGAATGGCAAAGCGGCCGCTATAACGAAGAACGGCAGCGGTGTTTCGCGATGGTAATGGCCCGCGTTTAATGCGCCATTAGAAGTTGTTAACTGTTGTTTCGGGAGCGCCGCGTTGCGATAGCGCGCGATGCAATGATGCGCGTCGCTCAACGTTGTAGGGCCGATTTATCATTTCCTAGCCTAGAGAATTGGTAATTAAATACTCTTTATTATTATAATAATAGCATTTAGTTGAAAGAACGATGTGCCTTGTTGAAAGCAAAAATTATCCGTTCTCTTTGAGAAAATTTTTTTCGTAATTCTCGAACTTTAAACTTTGAACTGTAAAACGCAAGATAACTCGAATCGAGATTTTATCCAAGCTCAGCTGAAATCAGTTGAATCAGATTTTGTTATCTATTTTATTATTTCTTTTTTAATCTGTCACGCATCTATTGATAACGAAATATTAACTCAAGCAAAGAATTATTTCCACCAAATATGTTTATCGAAATTCGCTGTATTAAAAAAAAACTCAAGTGTTCAATTCGATAATTAAAATTGGAATAAAATGTTTTACGATTTTATTTAGTAATCATTTTCGATCGTTCGAACGATATTTAGTGGTTAGCAAGCTTTAATTATCGGTGTGACAATAAAGCACTCGTTTAAATAAGCAATAAAATATTGAATTATCAAATATTCAATAAAGCCGCAACTCACATTTTCGTTTTCTGGTCAACTACCATTTCAAAATCAAATGATTTAAAAGCTACGCTTTTGTTCTTCGTCCAATAATTATTTTAATTGACGCTTGATCAAACATACATTTAATTAATTTTAAAAATACTGTAGTAGCGCCATAATAGCGGTCCACATATGTATATATATATATGGACATGTAGAAAGACATTATATCCCTTTTTAATGATGATATAACTTTCATCACATTCTCCAAACAAGCTACTATACATATTATTCAACATAAATATTAAAATATTCAAGTTATAATATTCAAGAAATGTCACAACGCGGTAAAATGCAAAGCTGTTTTACAGATATTACATAAAAATAGCTATAAGTCATATTATAAATATAATCGGCCTTTCTGTGCCATCCTTTTTTCAAATATGTATTTTCATGAATATATTTTTGCAAACACATTTTCCAGCACAGGCCGTTGAGGAAAAAATTTGGAAAATTATATAACGGTGATTACGTAAAAATTGTTTTCCTGCGTCATAATTGAAGCTAATTTAGCGTTTTATTTTGTTCGAGAGTTACTCAGATTGTCAATTTATTTTTTGATAAAACATGGGATAATTAGTTTTATTATAACGCAAATTTTTCGAATTAACTTTACTGCACGCCAGCGGCGGATTACGGTATAAATATCGATTTATTGCAGCTTCTAGAAAGTATATATCGATTTACAATATACTTCTTTTATAAAATAATATAAATTTATAAAATTTAATGTAATATAAAGTAATGT